TGCTCCCAGTAGATTAATGGCCCACTATAGCTTTCATATTAAGTTAATTGAGTGCAGAATGGCTTTGCTGGATTTGAATGACAGCTTCAGAGTTAAGCTCATCATTCTTCAAGAAAGCATAAAATGAGGGAACCGAAATCATGGGCCTGAATTATCACATCTTTTCTCTGTTTAGGGTAGGTTTTTCCATTTTCGGGTGCCACACAGCCCATTAATTAGCAAACAGGTAGCACTTGCACCAAATGATTTCCATCCTCCATCCCCAGCTAAACACTAGCCCAGCCCGTAACTTTCCATCTCGGGGCATAGGTACAAAAAAAGGAACGCTCCATGAGTGACAGCCCTTCACAGCTTAGAAAGCACCTGGGTTCCTCTCTCTCATTTCACCCTCCCAACAAGCCTCAACTCTCCATGTTCACCCTCATTTTACAAATGAAGAGACTGAGCAACAGAGCAGAATGAGAACTTGCTTGAGGTCAAACACTAGGAAGCAGCAGAACTAGGACAGGGCTTCCAGCCCAGTGCTCCCTCCCCAGAACATAGGAGGCTCATGTGACTTCACTCTGATTGTTCACTTTTTTTCACTATAAACTTTTGTCCTGCCTTCTTTTTCCACCTATCTCTCCATCCATTCCAAATTTATATGAACAAATTCTTCTTAGGTCTTGCCTGTTTTACCTTTTCAGCCTTATTTCCATCATTACCCAACATGAAGCCCAGGCTGCAGCCACATCAAAACATGTGCTGGCTTCCCCGGTGGTCCAGTGGTTAAGAGTCCATCTGCCAATGCAGGGGACACAGGTTTGATCTCTGCTCCGGGAAAATTCCACATGCCACGGAGCAACTAAGCCCAGGCACCACAGTGACCCAGCCTTCACTCTAGAGCCCACAAACCACAACTACTGAGCCCATGCGCTGCACCTACTGAAGCCCATGTGTCTAAAGCCCATGCTCCACAACAAGAAAAGCCATAGCAATAAGCCTGAGCACCACAACTGAAGAGTAGGCCCCTCTCGCCACAACTAGAGAAAGCCCACACAAAGCAACGAGACCCAGCGCAGCCATAAACAAGTAATTTTTTTCAAAAACATGTGCCATGTTCCATGCACATAAGGACCTCATTTTTACTCAGTGCTGTTCCCTCTGCTGTGATGCCCTTCTCCACCTTCACCTTTCCTACTCAACGTTCCCAAACCAAATGCCATTTCCTCCACGGGGCCTTTCCAAATGTTCAAATATTTTGTAGCAAAATATTACAGCATTCTTGTGCATTTATGTGTATCAAGGATAGTGGCTTGTAACTTTCTTTGCTTATACTGTCTCTGGCTTTGGTATGAGGATGATGCTGGCCTCTTAAAATGAGTTTGGAAGTATTCCCTCCTCTTCAATTTTTTGGAATATTTTGAGAAGGTTTTCTGTTCATTCTGTTTTAGATGTTCAGTAGAATCCATCAGTGAAGCCATCTGGTCCTGCACTCTTCTGTGTTGGCAGATTTTTTTATTAGTGATTCAACATTCTTATTAGTAATTGGTCTATTCAGATTTTCTATTTCTTCATGATTCAGTCTTTGTAGGTTGTACATTTCTAGAAATTGATTCATTTCTTCTAGGTTATCTAACTTGTTGGACTACAATTGTTTGTAGTAGCTTCTTAAAATCCTCAGTATTTTCATGGCAAGTATTAGGTAGATGCAAATCAAAATCACAATAAGATAGCATTTCATTAGAATGGATATTAAGCAAAACACCAAAAGCGAGTGCTAACAAGGATGTGAAGACATTGGCACCCTTACACATTGCTTGTAGAAATGTAAAATGGTATGGTCACTTTGGAAGACTGTACGGCAGTTTCTCAAAGTGTTAAACATCGAGTTATCACAAGACTCAGAGATTCCACTCCTGGATACATATCCAAGAGAATTGAAAATATATATTCACAAAAACATACACAGATGCTCAGAGCAACATTATCTGTAATAGCCAAAAAATAGAAACAACCCAAAAGTCCATCAACTGATAAACAGATAAACAAAAGTGTGGTATATGCACACATTAGAATTTTATTGTCATAAAAAAGAATGAATGACTGATCCATGCTACAACACGAATGGACCTTGAAGATACACTAAATGAAAGTCAGACACAAAAGACCACATAATATATGATTCTATTTATATGAAATGCCCATAACAGGCAAATCTATAGAGACAGAAATTAGACTAGTGGTTTCCAAGGGTATAGTGGGAGTGGGTGAGTAACTGCAAGTGGGCACAGAGTTTCTTTCTCTGGGGATGAAAATGTTTTAGAACTGGAGAGTGGTAATGGTTTCATGACCTTGTGAGTATACTAGAAACCACTGAACTGCACACTTTAAAAGGATGAATTTTATGGTATGTGAATTGTATCTCAATTTTTTTTAAAGTCTGTCTAATGAATGAGGCAGATGGTTGTGAAATGCTGAAGACCAGAATGCTGGCCAGCGGAAGGCACCTCATATCTCTGCTCTCCCTGCTATGGCCCTAGTCATCTCCAAAGTCAATCATGCCACAGTCTCCTCCTCTCTCTCACTCCCATAACCAGCCCAAATTATGTCACTCGACTTTAGAAGTTTCCTCTGTCCACTCATACAAGTCATGCCTTTTTATTTTCTGTATGTTTTGAAGTTTTGATATCTGGGTCTTGCTGGTCCTTCAGCTACTGCCCCTCCAAGATCTAGCCATTTCCTAAACCTAGCAAAGGACCCAGCTAAAGTGCACCTTTCAAATGCAAACCAACCAATGCAAAGCCCATACCCCAACCACCTCGTTTATCTGGTTCTTATACTCCTCAGTCTGTCCATCTGCCCTAATCACCCCAGTGCCGGGTATAGAGAACTAGAGACAGCTCCCATACCCCAGAGCCTGCTGAAATTATTCAAACTAGCCTGTCTGAAGTCTGTTTACCTTGTCCTGCCTTACCTTTGAGGCTCCCCAGGTGGCGCTAGAGGTAAAGAACCCGCCTGCCAATATGGGAGACAAGAGACACCGGTTCATTCCTTGGGTCAGGAGGATCCCCTGGAGGAAGGCACAGCAACCGCTCAAATATTCTTGCCTGGAGAATCCCGTGGACAGAGGAGCCCGGTAGGCTATAGTCCATAGGGTCACAAAGAGTCGGACACGACTGAAGCAACTGAGCTCGCACACACGCGTGCCTTACCTTTCCCAATGACACCATAGTAAAGGCTCTTGCCCACTTTTTCTACTTGTTTCCTCTGCGTTTTGACTCACTCTGGTGCTTCCTGTGTGCCCTGCATGGCATGCCATGCTCTCCATTTCTAGGAATCTGTGAGCAAAAACTTCTTGCAACAGTCATTTCCACATCTGCATGCCTATCCATACCTGGTAAAGCAAGTCTCAAGTACATATTAAAACACCACCTTTAAGCTTAGTTTCACTTCTTCTTTCCCACCTAACTTCTTACCACCCCCGACACTCTCCAAGATTAACAGCCACCTAAACATCTCTAATGGCTCAGACAGCAAAGAATCTGCCAGCAGTGCAGGAGACCTTGGCTTGATCCCTGGGTCAGGAAGATCCGCTGGAGAAGGGAATGGCAACCCACTCCAGTATTCTTGCCTGGAGAACTCAACAGACAGAAGAGCCTGGCAGGCTACAGTCCATAGGGTCGCAAAGAGTCAGATATGACCAAGTGATTTTCACTTTTTCACATACATCTCTAACTTCCTAAGCACACCATATCCCTTTATCATATTCTGGGTCCTCCATCCTGGCTCTTCATCCTCTTCTCCAGCCTCTTCACCCGATATCCCCATGCTCCCAGCAAGCCTCACTTTATAACTTCTCTTCTGGAATGACACCAGAATAGCCACCATGTGACCCAACAGAATGTGTGCCTTTTCCCTCAAAGCCCTTAGCCTGTGTGTCTAGGTATTGCCTGGCCTGCGAGTTCCCCCAAGATACAGACCATGATCCCTCATCTCTGGATTTCCAGGGCTTAGCACACTGCCAGAAAATTATTGGTAACTCAGTAAATGTAGAGTTTTACCCTTTAGTATAAGAAATCTCCCCAACAGGCAAGTAAGTTCCTTGAGGATGGAGTTCTTACCCTCTGGGTCCTTTCCTCTAAAAAACATGGCTGACACAGGTTAAACGCTTCTGGGCTGAGTGGATGAACTGGAATGATGACTGAGCAAATAGACAGGTGGGAGGAAAGTGGCTGAGAAAGCAGGCCACCTCCCAGTTCCCAATAAGAGAGCTTAGGACCTTCCCGGTGTTCCAGGGGCTAAGACTTTGAGCTCCCAATGCAGGAAGCTTGAGTCAGGGAACTAGATCCCATATGCTGCAACTAAGAGTCTGCATGCTGAAAGGAAGATCCAGAAGACCTAATTAATCACTGCAGAAGGTGACTGCAGCCATGAAATTAAAAGATGCTTACTCCTTGGAGGAAAAGTTATGACCAAACTAGAGAGCATATTAAAAAGCAGAGACATTACTTTGCCAACAAAAGTCCATCTAGTCAAGGCTATGGTTTTTTCAGTGGTCATGTATGGATATGAGAGTTGAACTATAAAGAAAGCTGAGCGCCGAAGAATTGATGCTTTTGAACTGTGGTGTTGGAGAAGACTCTTGTGAGTCCGTTGGACTGCAAGGAGATCCAACCAGTCCAACCTAAAGGAAATCAGTCCTGAGTGTTCACTGGAAGGACTGATGCTGAAGCTGAAACTCTAATACTTTGGCCACCTGATACAAAGAGCTGACTCATTTGAAAAGACCCTGATGCTGGGAAAGATTGAAGGCAGGAGGAGAAGGGGACGACAGAGGATGAGATGGTTGGATGGCATCACCAACTCAATGAACACGAGTTTGGGTAAACTCCGGGAATTGGTGATGGACAGGGAGGCCTGGCATGCTGCAGTCCATGGAGTCCCAGAGTCGGACCTGACTGAGCGACTGAACTAGACTGAACTGAATTAATTTTTTTAAAAAAGCAAGTGCTACTCACACTGTTCTTCCCACTCACGTTCCTCCTTCTCGCTGGGGTGGCTTTGCAGCTGGGCCTGCTTCAGGGTCCAGTAGAGTTCCTTCGCCCTCTGCTCTTCCTGGAAGCGAATTTGCTCTTCTCCTCGCTTCCTCTCCTCTTCCTCTTTCCTCTAAAAAACATCATGGGTACAGAATGACATTAGGTGATAGTAACAGGTTACAGGCAGGGCAGGGCTGAGCTGTCACGTGGAAAGGTGGCCAGAGGAGGCCACTCCAAACTCAGTCTCTACACACGTGAAGTGGTTACAGTTATATCTAATCAGGCCATGGTAAAGAGCAAATGACTTAAAGTATGTGAACCAAATATGTGAAGCTTTCTGCCATAATAAGAGAACTCTGGGTCACCCTTGGTCACACTTCCATTCTGGGGGAAGAGGGAAGTGGGCATGAGGAGGGGAGCCTGGTCTTCTTGGAGGTGAGTTAAGCAGGATGTGATTATTGTTCAGTCTCCCAGTTGTGTCCAGTCCTTTGCAAACCCATGGACTGCAGCACACCTGGCCTCCCTGTCCCTCACCATCTCCCAGAGTTTGCCTAAGTTCATGTTCATTGCATCAGTCACGCCAGCCAGCCATCTCATCCCCTGACACCCTCTTCTCCTTCTGCCCTCAATCTTTCCCAGCATCGGGGACTTTTCCAATGAGTCATCTGTTCGCATCAACCACCTTGTCGTGGCAAAGGGGCTTGCATAACTCAGTGAAGCCATGCCATGCAGGGCCACCTAAGATGGACAGGTCATAGCAGAGAGTTCTGACAAAACTTAATCTACTAGAAGCGGGAATGGCAAACCAGCCCAGTGTACTTGCTGTGAGAACCTCATGAATTGTATAAAAGGCCAAAAAGATATGACACCAACAGATGAGTCCTCCAGGTCCGAAGGTTGTCCACTATGCTACTGGGAGAGAGTGGAGGATAGGATTATATCTTAACTTTATTTCCAGAGAAGATATTTCAAAGAAAAAACAGTTTTGGGGGCCCCAAATCTCCAAATATTGTCCTGCTTTCAAGCTCCAAAAAGGCTGTGTGTATAATCCTTTACCTTTGTTTAATCAAAGTAAATGAACACACGGCAATCATGCATTATATGCCAGCAGGCTTGTTATTAAAAAAAATTAATTCTCTAAACCACTTTACCCAATCTACCCCCACTCTCCTCTAGTGCCTAGAGGTCACCATTCTCAATTATTTTAGCTTTCTTTTATGTGGTTATATCCATATCTGAATAATGCTGCTAATTATTGATTTATTGATTCTAGACATTAACTAGTACCTTTTTTTATGGTACATGAATATTTAACACTTATATTTCCCACACTAGTGGTAAACCCATATTTTTCTTCTCATCACCCTCACAATAGATTTATATCACAATTCATAATTATATCCAAGATTGGTACATAACTAAATATAGTTCACAGGACTTCCCTGGTGGTCCAGTGGTTAAGAATCTGCCTGCCAATACGGGGACACAGGTTCGATCCCTGGTCCAGGAGGATCCCACATGCCCCAGAACAACTGTGCTCACATGCCACAACTACTGAGCCCAAGCTTTAACACCTGGGCTCTGCAACAAGAGAAGTGACCGCAGTGAGAAGCCTGCACTCCAGGACAAAGAGTAGCCCCTACTCACTGCAACCAGAGAAAACCCAGGCACAGTAATGAAGACCCAGTGCAACCATAAATAAATAAAAATTTTTTTTAATAAACATAGTTCACTGTAATGCCATCAGGAGCTCCCCTGGTGGCTCAGTGGTAAAGAATCTGCCTGCCAATGCAGGAGATGCACATTGGATCCCTGAGTTGGGAAGATCTTCTGGAGTAGGAAATGGGAACCCCCTCCAGTTATTCTTGCTTGGGAAAATCCTATGGACAGACTAGCCTGGTGGGCTACAGTCCAGAGGGTAACAAAGAGTCAGACACAATTTAGCAACTAAACAACAGCAACATATATATAGCTAGATCTATATACATATTTTGTATATGTAAACTATTTATATATCCATATAGAGTCACGTCTGAAAATATCTAAATGTTACCCTCGCATGTAACTGCTAGTCTAGCTAAGCATAGAATTTGATTAAAATCATTTTCCTGCAGAACTTGGAGGACTTCACTTCTTATCTTCTAGCATCCAGTACTGCCACTCGGATTCTCATTCTGCATAAGGCACTACTTTCCTCTTTATCTCTGAATTCTGAACCTTTTTAATAGCCGTGCCTTGGTGTGGAGTTTCTTTCATTGATTACTAGGCACTCACGGTGCTTTTGATTGGAGTTTCAGGTCCTTCTAGTCTACTACATCTCTGCTTAGGATTTTTCTGATAGTTTCTCTCCTCTCATTTTGCTTTATTCTTTCTAGAACTCCCGTGTGTCAGTTCTGGACTTCTTGATTTGACCCTCTACGTGTCTTATCCTTTCTCTCTTATTTCCTGCCTCTTGCCTTTTTGTTCTACTTCCTGGTTGATTTCACTGACTTTATCCCCCAAACCTTCCACTGAATTTTTTATTTCAGCTAGTACATTTACAATTCCCAAGCCCTCTTTTATTCTTTGCTTGTTCTTTTTTGCTTTGTGGCATTCTGTACTTGTTTCATAAATGCCAAAGCTCATCTCTGAGGATTTTAGAGATTTTTCTCCCTCATGTTCTGATGTAGCTCTATTTCTTCTGTTTTTGTTTGTTTTGTTTTGTTCTTTTCTTTAAAGTTTGTTTTATTTGGTACCTATCATTTGTGTCGGAGGTTTTCTTCTGATGTCTGATGTTCCCTGACTGCTCACAATTCAAAGGGGAAAGTAAGTGTGTTTCTGAGGGACTTCCCTGGTGGTCCAGTGGTTTAGAACCCTCCTTGCAATCCAGGGGACACATGTTTGATTCCTGGTTGGGGAAATAAGACCCCACATGCCTTGCAGCAAGTAAGCCCACACACCACAACTACTGAGCCTGCACACCACCATGTGTTGTAACTATAGACCCAAGGAAGCCAAATTAAAAAAAAAATAGTATATCTGAAACAGAGACTCAGAGTGTGTAGTCAGGGTTTCCTTGGGTTTCACTCTAGGAAGACTGGATGAGGGATTAGCCACTTCACTGAGGACCCTCAGGTAGAAATACCTGGAGGTTCTTTCTCTGAAATTATTTGACATCTGTGTCCACCTGGGTGGTGTCCGACTACCAACATCCCAGGAGTTTGCATAGGAGGCAGGCTACAGGTAGGACAGCCCTTAGACTCAAGCAAGCAGGACCTCTAGCCTGAGCCCCATAATTCATGAGAAACCAATGCTTTGAGGTACTTTTTTGCAAATTGTCCCTGCAAGTTTCCCAGGACTGTCCAGAAATAGTACCCCAGGACAGGCAGGGGCAGCAGTAGGTTCAGGTAAGATGCCCCAAACCCAGATCAGGTCCCATTCAGCCCTTCAGGGTACTCTCTGACCCTCTCCTCCATGCAAAGGGTTAACCAAGTGCCCTATGGAGCTCCAGGATTCATAAATATGGAGTCATTCCCAGGTCCTGTGGCCAGGCCCTGGTTCCAGAAGGGTAGCCCAGCAAGCAGATGAATGTTCCTGGCCAACAGAATATTTTTATCATAGGATTGCCTGAGATTGGGCCACTGAAATAGAGTTAATAGGCTGAGTTTATGTAGTTCAAATTATTAACTTGCTATAGACAAAAACACAATCAAAAAAAATGTTACCAGTTCTGTACACCCTACAGGCAACCCTGACAGTAGGCTCCACGGGTTAGAGTTCAAACCTTTGCTTTTCCCCCTGATTCCTACCTGCCCCCACCTGTTCTCTCCACTTGTCCTAATACTCTGAGCTCCAGTGTTGTCCTTTCAACTCCTGGTCAGAGGGAGGGATGAAGTAGCCTGAAGAAACAGGTGAAAACAGGGAACTAAGGGTCCAGCCACTCCACGCAGAAATGTGCCACCGGTCCCTCACTGTCGGTGCCATCCTTCACTGTACCCGCTGTCCCCGATTCTCGAGTCTGTGGGGTCTCTGGCCTAGCTGATTCAGGACCACCAGCTCCCTGCCTGCAGGTGCCCCGCTAACCTCCCATCACTCTCCCTCTGTCTTCCAGAAACCAAATTTCTTTGGGCATTATTTTCATCTGCTCTTCCCTCCTCTCATTTTCTGTTCTTGTGGCTTACAATTTTTTCAGTCTGCTGATAGTTTAATGGATCAAGAAGAAAAAACAAAGAAGATGGGAACTGTGAGTTTTGAGCCCCTCGTTTAAAAAAGAAAAAACAAGGATTTTGTCACTTCTGAAATGACACAGATTGAGAATTTTCTTCAATTCAACGAACACGTTTTTAACTTCTAAAAAAAGACAAATTCCTAATGACCCACTCTCTAGGAGTTAGGAATTAAGGGATAAAAATGTTAAGTAGCTTCTCCAGTCATTCCCCAAATCCTTACTGAGCACCTAGGAAACTCTGCCTGCTCCAGGCACTGGGGATATAGCCGTGAAAAAGGCACTTAGCCCTACTCTCTCAGAGCTTGCCTTCCAATGACAGAAAAATATGGAATTTAGAAAGATATATGGAATTTAGAAAGATAGTAACGATAACCCTATATGCAAAACAGAAAAAGAGACACAAATGTACAGAACAGACTTTTGGACTCTGTGGGAGAAGGCGAGGGTGGGATGTTTCGATAGAACAGCATCGAAACATGTATATTATCTAGGGTGAAACAGATCACCAGCCCAGGTTGGATGCATGAGACAAGTGCTCGGGCCTGGTGCACTGGGAAGACCCAGAGGGATCGGGTCGAGAGGGAGGTGGGAGGGGGGATCGGGATGGGGAATACATGTAAATCCATGGCTGATTCATGTCAATGTATGACAAAAACCACTACAATATTGTAAAGTAATCAGCCTCCAACTAATAAAAATAAATGGAAAAAAAAACACTTATCAGGTAAAATAAAAAATATATCAGAATATCAGAAGTACTATATTATATATATTATACTATATTATATATCATATTACATATAATATTTATATAATACACTATACAATATATATTATATAATAAAATATACAGAGAATTAAAACAGGCTAAGTGATAGAGCCTAGGCAGCTACTTTAGACAGCGTTGACAAGAAATCCTCTGG